ACTGTTTCGCTTTTGTAGAGGCTGGTGACCAATTCGCCTTAAAGCATAATCTTAGCTTAGATCTTCCATCCTGGCGACGTGTCCAGCCCAGCGCAATTGTGTCTTCAATAGTGTGGCATCACTACTGGCGACTTTTGCCTGTGTAAGAACAGTAACTTGCCTACGTAGTCAAACTAGTGAATGTTTAGGGTTGTAGGAAGGCAGCGCTGATGACAGCGTTGGAGGAGTCGCCAGATGATGGTGGTAGATGACCCATGATTTAAGAACCATGCAATAGGACGGATAGTACAGTAGTTTTACAGACACTTTTCAGATGTTCATTGGAGTTTTTAAAACTCTGATATGCTTTTGCTAACCTGTTGTCAATCTATTTGTCGATCGTGACATCAGAAGAAATGATCCTTCCCAAATAGCTAAACTGCTGGACTGACTTAAGCTCTTATTCACTTACGGTAATTTGAGGATGAGGATGAAAGTAGTTACTCTGTGATGTAAGCTAATAAAGAACTGCTTTCTTCAAGCTTACCGCTAAGCTTGCAAAATACGATCTTATATCAGAATAAAATGTTAGATAAAGATATATGATAATCAATTAATTTCTATGATTAAAAACTTCTCAAATTTTTAAATTTTTTAAAAAAAGAGAGAAACCTGCGATATTCGAAATTTCTTTTTGACTAAATTTTGAGGTTTAAATCTAATATTTTTGAATATTACTTCAGAGATTCCTGTGAATTAACTCAAATAATTAATTCTTCATTGGCAGGTATTTTGTTTTTTCTTTTAATTTCTATTCTGAAAATGATTGAATAATTACGTTTTCTTTTTCCTTAGAAAAAAAATCCGGTATGATCAATGCCACATGTATTTTCACCGGAAATATTCCACTGATATCAGTGATCCTCGATCATGCAGTTTTCTGCTTACTTATCACTCCTTCCTTTATTTGATATCTTTTTTAAAACTGTTGAAACTTCAAAAATTGTCATGAAAATAATTCTTTACCGAAAGGGTACTTTCCGGAAGCATGAAATACACAGTCTATTACCATTGGTACTAAAATGAGTTTTAGAAAGTATTTTTTGTTCAACAGATGGCTCTGTTGAAACGCTGAAAATTTTCCGCAATTCATAGAATGCTAAAATCAAAGATCAAATTTATCAAACTTTTTCAGAGAATAAACTGCCATAATTCTTAAATTACATTTTCACAATTTTAGCGATTCTTTCCACTTACATTTATAGAACAAATTCAATACGTGCGCATTTGGTCGTCATAGAATGCAAAAGTTTCGAAATGTTCAACTTCCAAAACATTGTATTCTTCTATCCGTAGAATTTCAAGCTAACCCTTTCACTTCTTTATCTTATTTTTAACTTTCGAAGCTAATACCGTATTTGAATTTAAACTTATCAGTCGAAGTTGTTAACCAATTAACTGACTTCACCTTTCAGGAAACAAGACAATTATTCGTCCTCGACCTTTGATCAATCTCTCAGATATCCACTGCCCAGTTAGTCCAGTACTTGGAAATTTCATTTATGAAATGAGTGCTTTACTCAGCCGAAAGTGATGTAGTGATTCTGAATTAAACTTTTGCCAATTTCTTCAAACTCTCTTTTCCTTTCTCTTTCTCTCTCTCTCTTTCTCTCTCCTTCTCTCTCCCTTTTCCCTGTTTCAGCTTTTTCTTCCGGAATTATATCTTAAACAACTTTCTGGAATAAAATAAAAAAAATGGTTGCTTCCTGTTTGTCTCACTAAGGCTCAGGGTTGTCATTAGCAACCTACCAGGTGTGTCATCTGTCACTTATTCTATACCACTTTTCATCCTCCCGTTTTCCATACCACTGCAAATAGGTGGGGGGCGGGGGAGTGGGTGTGTATATCCGAAAGTGCTACTTCATTTCCTTTTCTCAAATGATTCATTCACCTGCATCATTTCATGTCACACCTTCTGATATCATAAATTTACCTTTCTGTTAACACCGCTTTTTTATAACACATTTCAAATTTGAAGATTTCTCTCTCCCGCGAATATTATGCAAATTTCGGGTAAATCCGAGTTTCGTTACCATAATGTAAAGTTAGTTGCACACAACGAATATTATCACTCTCCCCGTGTCCAATCAAATATTTTTTCCAACAATCGGGTTTCGAGCATTATTCTATAATGACCAATAATGTTGTGGTCAGTTGTTAAGTAGTAAATGACCCCTTACTGGTCTTTCTTGGATGCGATTCGTTCATTCCTTATGGGTAACAAGCATGAGATGTCTGAAATGACCAGTAGAAAGAAATGTCCTTCCCAAGTCGTAAAGCTAAAAAAGCACAACTAATTAAGGGTTTTTGAAAATAGAAAGTTTCTGCGTGTTTGCGTGTGTGTGTATTTGTATGTATGTATGTATGCATGCATGTGTATGTCTCTATATGTATCGGTCTATGTGTATGTGTGTGTGCATGTGTGCATGTGTGTGTGTATATCTATTTGGTGTACATGTGCATGTCTCTATATGTGTCGGTGCATGTGTGTGTATTTATGTGTGTCCATATGTGTATATGTATGCGTGTATATATATATATATGTGTGTGCGTATGTGTGTATGTGAAATGTGGTGTGATGTCACTGTCAACAGCATCAACAGTGCTACTGCTACCGCTATTGCTATTGCTATTGGTGGTAGTGGTTGTGATTGTGGCAGTGAAGAATGTCCTTTGCAATGATGGTTCCACTCATTTCAGCCAGGCTCAGGTTGAGTTGACTTGGCTGGACTTGGCCACTCTCAGATGGCATGCATACTCGTTTCTTACCTTTCATTTCCTTTACATCTACCTGCCATCGTTTTCTCTTTTTCTCTTTTTTTATATGTTCAATTACCAAAATATTTTTGCATTTTCATCATTTATGACATTTCCTTTCCCTTTTTATAGTGACATTCCAAGGACCATTGTTTTCTTCGCGTGGATTTTAACGGAACTTACGTGGTCAGCCATATCTTGACGTTCAGGTATTGTACAGATGGGTATTAACGTCAAAGGCATTAGTAAGAAGTAATTCTACGCTTAAAATTTGGTTAGTCATGAGACAATCACTTACGTTTAGCCTAGCCAAAAAATGGACAAAATAGGCTTAATTCACTACCTGCTAATATTACAGTACTCCAACTTAGTTATATAAAGGAAAAGTTACGTGAAATTTTGTTCAGGAAAATTAATAGATAGGTCTGGTAACAGTGTGGTTATATACTAATGAACAGTGTTTATTCAATGTCCATCTGTCACCAATGCATTTCATTGTTTCACTTTTGAATTGTTACTCAATGATGAACATTTGTCAACTGCATAATGACTTGTCCTATTTTAGTTAATCCATATTCTAACTTCTACTATTTGAAATATTCAAGTTAGAATAATCGCCTTACTGTTCACCAGATAGATCCTTTAGATTGAATGAGTCGTAAGTATCTCTTGAAGTATTACGAAAGGAAGTTTTAGTTTTTTTTTTCTTAGTCTACATCAAACGGATATCGATTTAGAGAATATGACCGATCAAAAAGGAAGTTCTTCAATTCTTAGATCAGATCGTTCAGATTGATTGTATTCTGGAAATTTTCAATAACAAATAGATTGATAGATTTAAAAGAGATTCAAACTTCATTTCATTTCTAAACTATTTTCCGTTACATCATCCTAAATGACGTGATACCGGTGATACCGGTGACCGGTGATGGTGATAGGTGATAGTGAGTTTCTCTTCGAACCCGTGATCCTACCAATGACAGTGGTATAAATCAGTGGCGTCAAACTGGTTCTGTAATGAAAATAAGGCCAACTAAATAGATGATGATAATGATGATGATGGTGATGGTGATTGTTGGTCGGATTCACGGACATGCAGTAGTCAATTCAATTCGTGAAATTCAATGTACACTTTGCTCTCTTCTTCCCACATACATACAAACACACACACATACATACATACATACATACACATACACAGACAGATACAAATACCGATACATTCGATATATACTCGATATTGACAACATGAAAGTGACATATACAAGCAAGTAAATCATCGATTAACTTTTCACATCTCCCGCTCGGTCCGGTCTGAGAATTGATATGAATGTGGAAGAAAGGAAGAAAGTAAAGCAAATCTATGAAGAACTTAGAGTAATGATTTACTTAAACTTTCCTTTAAGTATTACCTTATTTTTTTCGATCATCAACATCTTTACTTTTATTTTCATATAATCTCTCAGATATTCCTACCTTTTCTTTATTCTCTTATTTTTCACATCATTTCATCCATTCTATGTTATACTAAAATGAATGATTTACCTATATGTATATTCATCTATTCAGATAAATTGATTTTTAATAAGGGGAAGATCACTGGAAGAAATTCCTTCCCGCTCATCCGTGTATAATTTACTTTTAGAAAATACTCTTCATATGTTACATTATGTTAGAATCAATTTATTCCTCAGTCGAAAAATTCAGCGTTTTTGAAAATTTCATCTTTTCCATTATGCCAATTTGTTTCGATTTGAGGACAAGAAAGGACATTGTAGAACTTCTTTTTTTTTTTGTTTTTTATCCTGTGAATGACCTCATTGCCAGTAAGATAGGATGCTGTCATTTTCCAATAAAATTTTATTTTTCATCATCTCTCAACAAAAATCTCTGGATTTGTTCTATTTTGATAATCGATGATACAATAACTTTCAACATTCTTTCCGCATTACGCAACGAGAAGTGCGGAAACTGTATGCGGATTTCATGAGAAATTTTCTCGATTAACAAAATCATCCATAATTATTTGCTGCTATCTTTCATCTTTTATTCGATCTTTAATTTAATTTAGACTCTTTTGAATTTACCTTTCTTCTTTATCTTCTTACCTTGGCATTTAAATATATTTCCTGTCTTTGTTTTTTTACGTTAGCCGCATTTTTTTCCTAGGGAAAGGCCTAGAATAATGGTTTAATTTGTTGTGCGCTTTTATAAAAGAATTATTATGCATTTTATATTTTGTTTCTTTGGAGAATTCCTTTTCATTTTCCGAGAAAATATAAGCATATCATTTAAATATTTCTGCTTATCATGTGAATTTAAATGATAAATGATAAGTGGTTTCATTTCATTTCTAAATCAATGAATCGAACTCGAACTATAGCTTCACTCTCATTAATTAAAAGATAAGAGAAATAATAGAGTAGTAGTAGTATAGAATTGCTATCGCATAGCTAATCAATTATCATTCCGTTCCGCGCTAATCGTATAAGATCAATTAGTCCACAACATTTTTCATTACTTTCTGTCAGTTTAGATGATTTGGTTTGTACGATCTTCTTCCGAACAGCAATATAGTTATCGATAATTTATTTGATTATTCTTCCTGTCTGATACGGTGGATAGACGAAAATATGAGATAGTTCCAAGAGTCTTCTGGCACGAAACCTTTTACCGGATATTGTTAAATAGTTTTGTCTCATATTATCTCATACTATTTTCTGATATTGTCAGATATTATCGGATATTGTTTTCCGGAGTGAGAAAAAGATTATAGGAATTGTAGAGAACTGGAAAATGTAAAGAATACGGATTTACTATATTAAGTTTTAGTGTCAGGAAATTGAACTTTTCCATGTGACATTTTATTCACTTGAACTCTGATAGGCTGTACAATCGTGTGAAATAAAAAAGAATGAGAAGAAAGTTTTACAGGGTAGACTTATCAATCAAATAATATTCGCATCTTGGTGATAATTATAGGGACTGATTAGTGGAGCAAAAATGTATAAGAAAGGATAGTGTTCGACGGTTTGATTTCTTCTATATCAATTTAAAGTATAGATGAATGAATTTTAAAAATTATTTAATTGTGCAAATAATCATTGGTTGATATAGACATTGGAGAGTGATAAATAATCAATAACTATCAAGTAGATTAAAAGAACGGTCAATAATCTGGTCAATAACCATCAAAACTGGAATCAGGGATGTTGATCGGGAATTCCATTAATCATCATATTTCATCTATAGCGGTCATAGGTCATATCATGTTACATTTTCTTACTTTGATCAAAAATGCTATAAATTCGTTATTTTTGATTTTTTTTTGGGAAGGGAGGGGCGGAAAGTGGGAAGGGAAAATTGCAACAGATGACAAGGATAACATCCGATAGATAAATATTTCTTGATGCAAAATTGAGGACAGTCATTGTTGAAAAGGGATATATTTCTATTGATGTGTTCATCCTTCTACTCTCACAGTAAGGTCATCAGGGGTCAAACAACAAAGGACAAATGTTTCCTTGGTTAAGGAAAGATAATCTATCAATCCTTCATGTGAGGAAAAAAAAGGAGAGTATGATGAGTCAGTTTGTTGACAGCAGTTGGACGAAAAAGTATAATGTTGAAAAGAGTACACGTGATGTGATTGCAATTTTATTGCAGTGTAGTGCAGTGCAGCACAGTGCAATGCAGTGCAATATATTGAATAGCCAAACTCACTGATTCAATCAGTCTCGATCAGGTCTTATGATCGGATTAAATTGATTGATGTTGGCACTATTCTAACGACACTTCCAAAGTACTTGTTTAATCGGCTTTAACTTCTACCAACTAATATTTCGGTCTTCCTTTCTTCTTTTCAACTGTTGAACAGAAACGTCATTTCATTTCATTTCGTTAAAATATTGTTAATCGATATTATTCCTTCATTTTCTTCCATCTCTTCCTTCATCTTCCCGTTTAATGGCCAGTCAAACTCACTGATTCGATCAGTACAGACAAGATAAGGTATAGTATCCCTTTCAACTTTATTCTACTGATAATTTCCTTACTCGTTATCTCTTTATCATTGTTTACATAGCTGTGCTTATTCATCATCATCATCATCCATTTATTTGTTTGTTTGTTTGCTTGCCTGCTTGTTTACTTAGTTGTCGTATTTTGTATATTAGTGATGAGTTAAATGTCACTCTTTAAAATAGCTTCATATTCAAGGTTTCATTTCTTTTTTTAACTGGATTTTCGGTTAATTCTCAAATGGTGACATTTGCAATGATCACAGCTTAACTATTTCAGGATTTCAATCTGTCATCCTTGAAACCTGAAATTGGCAAGTTTACAGAATTGGGACCATTCTAGGTCCAACTTTTTATTGATAAATTTACAAATGATAAATAGATTAAATGACCAAGATAGAAGACACAACAAAGTAGAAAAGAAAAAAATGACAAAAAAGAGACGAGGAAATATAACATGTTACCAACAGATTCTATTTGCCATCTCTCTTTCAGAAGACACTCCAATCGAAATATCATCTTAGTGTCATGCAATTAAAAGTGGACAATCGTTGAAGTTAAATTGATAACGCTACATCTCTTCTACCAATATCATTTTTGAATATTGGTGAATTTTTAGCCGAAATTTTTTTAATTAATTAATTTTCTTTTTGGGTAATGGAAAAGCGATAATTGAAATAATAATAGTGCATATTTGCAACTTTCCAAGTATTACACACTCGTTTTTGTGAACTTTACTCCTAATGTCATATACATGTATGTGATTAAATCATTTCTTGAAAATAAGCCGTAATGTGTCCTCTGAAATGTAACACCGAAAGTAAACCTACGTATGTAATGTGTCCTTTGGAATGTAAGACTGAGTGTCCTTTGGAATGTAAGACTGAAAGTAAACCTGCGTATGTAATGTGTCCTTTGGAATGTAAGACTGAAAGTAAACCTACGTATGTAATGTGTCCTTTGGAATGTAAAATTGAAAATAAGCGGTAATGCATCTTTTATGGTATAAAATTGAAGGTAAATGGTAATGTGTCCTCTGAAGTGTCTACTGTAAGATTCGTTTATGTTCGTGAAATAAATACACGTTTAGATATACAAAATACACGTGTAAATGATCGAATGAATTGCTCAAATTAATTGCTTTTTAATTCTTTGAAGTTAATCAGTGTGAGGATTTTCATCAATACAAGTAATATGTGTAAATCTTTTCTTCCTCAAAATTTACCAAAAGGAAATACTTTGACATAGAATTGAACCTGTAACCAGCAATAGATCTATTCGATGGAGTTAATCCAGTTTAGGCATTGTAATACTAATCATATCATTTCATCTCATAAATATTCCTACTCTAAAATCTTACAACAATTACAAGTAACATTAATTATCTGTAATTAATTGATTGATTGTCCGAGGTTTTAATTGCTACGTGGATTTACCATTTGGTGTCATCTCTTTGTGTCATTGTATCGTTACGAATTTGGAAAGGAATATATCGAATGATTTGACAATGATGAATTCAACAAATTTGAAAACTTTCATTCATTTCATTCGGTATTTCATTAGATAAAAGAAGAAAAGAAAAAGAAGAAAGAAAGATGGAAATTCGTAAAATTTTCAATCTTCATTAAGTCTCTTTAAAAATTGTATTACGATTGTATAACGATATTATCTACCGAATTGTTATTCCCATATCACTTCAATATTGATCCTAAGATGTATACTGTAGTTGAATATGGTGAAGTATGATGGTGAATTTAATGTAACGTCTTCAATAGGCACAATAAATAACGTAGTCATTAGTTAGCTTAATCATTTTTTTTTTTGAGGCTTTCAAATGTAATGATCAATGTATAAGTGATGGAAGTATTTTAACGGGAAGCTCTTGAATAAATTTCTAGTAAATAAGTAATGAATAGGAAGTTAGGAAGTTTGAATAGTAATGGAAAATGAGAGTATATCAGGACAATGGTCATCAACTTTTAGAAATATGCTGGTCATTCATTACAACTGTGGTCAGTCAATATGGATGTTATGGTCAATTTATGGATGTGAAAACTACAATATATTTTATGTTAAATATAATTAAGTGAGTAAGTGTAAGTGATATATTTCGAAATAAAATGATTCCTTAGACCTTTATTGATGAATTGTTAATTCCGTTTTTTTTTTNTTTTTNTTTTTCTTGATTCTAATAC